CTCTCTCTGCTTAACAGCCAATCAATTCAGCCAATCACGGCCTCCGCTCCTGCGCTCCATCATCGCCACTCTCACTTGTTTGTAAATTTCACGTTTGTTTCTATTCCCTGATCGGTCCCAATCAGTGTCGTGGCTGGACCTGCGCCGCAGATTTAGTCCCACAGCGGCGTCCTTGTGTTTTATGCATATTTGTATGGATTAGCGATTATCGCAAACGTGGTCGAAGCCGTAGCGCAGCTGTCACCGCAGCAGCCGATTACTGCGTTGGAAAAAAATGGATTTCTGTCAAATCTGTCAGTCAGAGACAGTTTCAACAATCGGTGCTTCATTTACAACAGGACACGAAGAACGCGGTTAGAGCTCATCGATTCATCGGCTGGTGTTATGGTACGCACTGGAACGACTGGGGTTCAACGACCAACAGAACACTGTCGGTTCACTATCCAATAAGTGAACCGACAGTGTTCTGTTGGTCGTTGAACCCCAGTCGTTTCTGTCAGGTGACTTTTGCACAAAGACTGACTAGTGATACTTCAATGTCACTGTATTTAACGCAGTTGAAGCTAGAAAGAAACTTCCAAGTTAAAGTTTTCTATAAAAATACTGATGTTGTAGTTTTTGTTTTTTATATAAAACTACAAATGTTTAAAATCATGTGAAGAGTCTATGTTATGACATCATCAGAATCAATAACCTGATTGGTCGAATTTCTTCTCAGAGTTTGTTTTTAGTGAAACATTTCTAGAATTAGACTTAACGTCAAACTTTTTTTTTCTCCTGGTTTCATTACAACACAAATACTTCTTTCAGTCACATGATCTGGAGACACGCTGCTGGAGTCTAACCCCTGACCTTTGGGTTGGAGGTTGAACGCCACCTCCACCCACTGATAAACACACATCCGTCAAGGTCTCTTCATTCCTCTTCTTCTACTCTCACGACCCTGACAGAACTTCATCTTGATCTCATCTGAAGGAGGAGAAATGACTCCAAAAACATTTGTCAGAAAAATTCATCTCTTTCTTCTTCTTCATGAACAAATGAAGTAAGAAATGTGTCAGCGGTGAACAACTGCCTCCCTCGGCTCAACTATCACACAGTTCCCTCCCTTCAAGCCTTCAAGGAAACAGTTAGGAAAACACGACCAGAACGAGGCTCCAAGTCCCAGGGCTCAACTGTTAACATAGCGCCACACAATGGTGGATTAGCATAAGAAAATGAAGAGCCGCACGGTTTTGTTCTGACAGTTATTGCTGCGGGGAGAACCTCGGGCCGGCAGCTGCGGGCTCCATTCACCGCCACGCTCAGTCATTTCAAGACCGACACAAAGGGGGGAATAGATGGTAGATAGAGGGTAGATAGGGGCATTGAGAGGAAGAGAGTAGAAATTGGTAGATAGAGGGTAGATGGGGCATTGAGAGGAAGAGAGTAGAAATAAAAAGATCCAAACACAATTTTCACGGGAAAAAGAGCTGTAAAAAAAACTCATTAGTTTAATGAGTTTTTTTTTCTTCTTCTCCAACGCCGGTAAATTATTGGATTTAATTAAATAAAGAAACAACTTTTGGAGCTGGGTGCACATGTGTGTGTGGGGGGGGGGGGGGGGGGGGGTAATTACAGGCAAGTCGTTGAAACAGGAGGTCTCTTAATCCCAAATGCAGTTACAGTTATTAAAGAGGGGGCAGGTGGGTGGGGGCTGCAAACAACAGGAGTCCAATACACTGTTACTGCTGTTACTGTTACTGTTGCTGTTACTGTTACTGCTACTGTTACTGCTGCTGTTACTGTTACTGCTGCTGTTACTGTTACTGCTACTGTTACTGCTGCTGTTACTGTTACTGCTGCTGTTACTGCTGCTGCTGCTGTTACTGCTGCTGCTGCTACTGTTACTGCTGCTGCTGTTACTGCTGCTGCTGTTACTGCTGCTGCTGTTACTGCTGCTGCTGTTACTGCTGCTGCTAAATGACTAATGGCTGCAGCTGTGATGGGCTAACACTTAGATCCTTTTTTGCTAACATTTAGTTCAAGTTGGGCAGAGTTTGGTTAGCCTCACTTTGGCTAGCATCAAAGCTTTACTGGACAATCTTGGGCTAACATTTGGCTATTTGTGGGCTAACTTGTACTTCTAATCAGGCTACTTTCGAGCCATGATATTGTTCTTTTTTTTAATTTCTAACTGTTCTAACACTTGGCTTCTGCTGTGCTAGTGTCCAGCTCTCAGTGGTCTCATGTTCAGATCTTATTGGACGGACTGATGGTTGGATTATTTTGGTGAAGAATGTTCGATCTCTAACATACGATCCGTGCTTTCTTCCCTGGTGGAACAATCACTCTGCAAACTGCCCCAGAACTGATACAAATGCCCCGGTCTGGGATAAATACAGCGCCACCTGTGAGTCTGGGGAAGTAAGTGTTGTCTCTTTTATTTGTCTGCCCCTAGTGTTGTGTCTGTGAAACAACCCCCCCAACCCCCTACCCTCAAGGCTGCTGGGCCAACAATCTCCCACTGGAGCTGAAATGTAATGGAGTGGATTCAATAATAGCAGCAGCGACTGCTGAGGAAAACACAGGGAATCAAATCACAACAGGTCCCTGCGAGACTTCCCAGCATCCTCTGCTGCTCTGTAGGAGTGAAGAGGAGGAGGGTGGGGGGAGCAGGCGGTAGGAGGGGTGAAACAACTGAGGCCTGTACTACACCATACTATGATGTACTACATTATACTAGACCACACACACACAAAGCATAGGAAACAGACTCTGGGTAAGCTAACTCTTAGCTGTTATCGGGCTAACTTTTAGCTCCCATTTGGACATCACAGTTAATGTATCATGTCCATACCTTGTCTAACTTGTTTTTGTTCTTACAATAAAATAAAAATATCTTTAATATTTGTCTTCCTACAAATTATCTTTTCCCTCAATCTATTACTCCTTTTTGATACGCTCTTTTTAAGATTTGTATTCTTATATTAGAGTCTTTACGGTACAGTTTTCCCGGCAGACAAACTTTGCTTGATGGAAAACTTTCAAAACCACAGAGACCTTCACTTCCTGTGTGGTTGTAAAAGTCCATAAATATTTTTTTGTGGGAATTTTCATGAAGGATTTGAGGGAAGAAAAACTAATAGAAACAAGTGTTTCCAGATGACAGTCATTGAATCACTACAGCCTCCCTCAGAGTTTACTTATAAACACCATGATGGGAACATGCTGTGTGGAGGGGGGGATTGGGGGGGGGGCGGTTGTCATCTAACTCTGAATAATATTTAGTTTGGCTGGAGGTCAGAAAACCCAGCAGTGTCCCAGCAGCACAGTTACACAAACCCTTCAGAGGAGAAAGTCTAATAATACTACACTGTACGAGAACCAAGATACACCACTACATGGAGCAGTGGAGCTAATGCTGCTAACGCTGCTAACACTAAAAGTTTTGGGATCTTGCCGACTCATGGTTAACTCTTAGATACTTCAGGGTTTTTGTTTTTATTGACTCATAATTAACCTGTCCTGTAGAGTTATCAAATACAGTCTCGGTTTTTACTGCTTTCATTTATATAATAAAGGTTAGCATTAGCTTGGCTAATTTTGAGTAATATTGCACAATTCTCAGCAACAATGTTTTGGCTCATTGAGTTAAAAACTAAAACCCTTTCCTTGCAGCTCGTGTGCCTTTTTTAAAGTCTCCGTGGAACCATTCCAGGAGAACAGTACTAATAAAAGCAGTTGTTGGTTTTACGACATGTTTGGTGTGTGAATGTGTTTTCTTCTGTCGACGCTGGACAAAGTACCAGGAAGTGACTGTGTCAGCGTTGAAGCTGGGGTAGGATGGTTCTCCTGAGGAACAGTATGAAGTCGTGTTGTATTCCATGATGTGTTTGGATATTTAAGCACCCACTTCAGGACTTTCTACTGGTACCGATGCCTTCACAGTTCAACCCATCTGTTGAAAATGATCACTTTTCTTTTTTTGTTGCTCCACTGAGCAGACTGTTAAGACAGTTAAAGTTGTTACTCTCTCACCTCTTGTTGTCCTTCTCATGGCTAACTGCTTTTTTTGCTAACATTTAGGTATCAATGAATTTATTTAATTTAAGCTTTAATTTAGAACATTTCAAGCAGCGTTTGGCAATGGTTTTTAAAATTATACTAACTCTAAAGGTTTATTAGCAACATAGCGTTACTCGGTTTTTAGCTACTTATTGCTATCCATTAGTATAAAACAATTAAGCCCTTCTTTAACTATTGTAGCTCTATGCTAGGTTTGGACAGTGTTTTTCTACTTGGTATAAAAATATATCTATGCTAGTACTACCACAACAACCACTAATACTACTTCTGCTGCTATCACTACTACAATAAACTATTTCCACCACCATCACCAATACCAGTACTACATCTTTAACAATACAGCGGAGCGCCTGTACACAGTCAAACAACAGTGAAAATCAACAGCAGTTCCTGGAGAACACAGCAGCTGCTGAGACCATCTGTGGATGACGTGGACCAAAGACCACTGATAAATAAATAAATGAACCTTCAGTGGTCTGTGGATGCTCTGGCCTGAGCTTCTGCTCCCCCCACTGGTTTGATCCAGTTTCCCAAATCCACGAGTGGAAGGCCAGGAATCTTAACACCCACCGATCCAAAGCAGGATCTGGGAGAAGATGCTGCTTTTTTTATTTTTTTTTATTTGACATAATTGACAGCTGTCAGTCATGGCCTCAGGGTTGTACTCGAGAAAAAATGTTGTGAATTTGCCTTTAAAGTTCTTAGGATCTTGGCTGTGTACATGTGTAAAGGTATTTTAGCTCATTGAAAAATGTCCTTCTGGGCTTCCGTAGATCAAAGTAACCTCATCTCACTTTTCAACAACGAAAGCAGCTGTAAATGTGGACATGGATTCATGACCACACATTAACTGGTACCTGCTAATATGTAGGTACCAGCACCGGTTCTGAGAGTCCAGAGTCACTCTTACTGTCAAAGGAAACCAGACCTACCTGTCTGCAGACGGAGGACGGTCATGGCGGGTGTAGAGAGAGTCCGAGTGTTGGTGCTGGTGGTGGGGGTGTGTGTGGTGGTAACCCTCTCCAGGACTGTGGGGGCGACTGTGACCATCACTGATTCCACTGTAAGCATACTCCTCCTCGGACAACCTCTCTGGCGATCGGCTGACGTCCAGAATCTCAGCGTAGTCACGTTCCCGAGCCTGACGTTCCCTCAGTTCCCTGGTTTTGGCCTGGATTCTGATGAGGAAGAAGAAAAACGTTGAAGTGAGATTCAAAGTTTGTTCTAGAATGGCCATAGAAGCTAAAGGTTGAACTTATTTTATTTAGTTATTTTTAGCCAAGGCTTTACTTTGTGGCTAATTCTGGCTGTTTTATTTAAGTGCTCAACTTTGTCTACGCAGTTAGAAAGACTGAAGACCAACACCAAAAAAAGCTTCATTTAATTCATGTTGTTGTTTAATATTGTTATTTATTTATTTATTTGTTATTTATATTCATTTCGAAGTTTCAATTTTTTAACATATACCCGTACCCAGTAGAGGGGAATACTGGCAAGAATCACTTTAACTGTCGTCCCAGTGTGATCCTAGTCTGAACATCAGTTCCTGACACTGGAACAGAGGGATCTACATTCAGAATCACCAGAGAAGAACCATGAAGTCAAAGTTTGTTGAACTGAGTGAACGAGGCCTCAAACTAAAACCCTGATCATCTTTGATTCACATCATTGATCACAACAGATATTTTTACAGTCAGAGACATTGATCAGAGACAGTGAAAAGAAAATGACTGATACAAAGACACTTTAAAGTCCCGGTCTTTTCTGTCTTTTGTCCATAAAGGTTGAAGACAGAGTTTGTTTGCTCCTGGATTTGGTCTCGTGTCTCCTACCATGATGTCACGGTGCAGCCACACTGTGATCCATCCACTAGGCCTCAGTGGGGGAGGTTCACACCTTACCCCCATATTGTCAGTGTCTCAGATGGACATGTGTTTGAAGCAGGGAGTGGAGGAGGAGACAGTCTTCAGCATCAGGCCATCACCTCACTGTTATTATTCCAGGTCAGACAAAGTCCACGGAGAAGAGCCTTTTTTTTTTCCAGAGCAAATGAAACGTGATCTGTGTGAAGTCTGTATTAATGTCACAAAACAAAGACAATTGACAAAAAAAAGACAGACTAGTATTTTCAACTGGAAAAACCAGTGACACAGTCAAGTTTATAACCACTGATTATCAACAACATGATGATTTATAACCAATCATCACACACCCTACAAAGGTATTTACTGTGTTCTACTGTGGCTTTAAATCAAACCTTTATCTTGAACAAAACAGAGGAAATGTATCTTTGATTTGATTTAAATAATTCATTTGATTTCAGTTCAGGTGAAGAAACAAATGACCAGACAATGAGAAAATTCAAAGATTTAAAGTTGAAAAAAAAACTCAAGTCTATTTGAGTTTACAGAACTTTGCTGTGGAACCAGAATAATATTTCAGATTAACTCCAGCATAGAGAGGCTGAGTGAATGTGGTCTGGACTCTGTGGAGGAGAGTCATGGAGTCAGAGACTCTGTAGAAGGACAGAAGACCTGCTCTGTGGTCCAGGTACACTCCTACTCTGGAGGAGGAACCAGGAGCTGAGACTTCAGTCCTGATTTTGTTATGACGGGAATAAGAACTGTTTTTGTTACAATGTAAAGACCAAGATTTGTCATTGAATCCAAACAAACATTTTTCTGATTCTCCTTCTCTGCTGATATCCTTGTATGTCACTGCTACACTAACTCCT